AGGAAGCCCCAAGAGGTCCCAAGATGGCCCCAAGAGGCCCCCAAGAGGCCCCCCGGAGGCCCCCAAGAGACCCCCAAGAGGCCCCAAGAGCCCCCCCAGATGCACCCAAGATGCTCCAAGAGGCCTCGGCGAGAATGCCTAATCATTGATTCTACACAGGTTTTAGCCACATGGAGGCCTCTTGGGGGGGGGCACGGATTAAGATGACTCCAAGAGCGTCTGGGAGAGCCCAAAATGACCTCCAAGATGGCTCAAGATATCCCAAGATGTCTCATAATGGCTTCCTCTGTGTGCTGCCCACTTCTCTGATCGAGGCAATTCCTCTGGGCATCGTTTCTGGATGGGCTGGTGGGGATTCGCGAAGCGACAACAATTCCTCGGGGAGAGGGGGCCCCTTGCCATCTTCCTCCCGGATGCCTCCATGTTCGGGGGGGGGGTCTGGCCTGCTCGGACCCGCACGGTCGACAACGCAAGTGGCGCGAGATGCCTTTCACGTCTCGCCCAGGCACTCGGACAACAAACAGAACACGGGGAGCGACCACGTCCTCGCCCCCAGCCGTGGAAACGAGGAGCCACAGGCCGGGCCGTTCCTGTGGTAAGGGCGGCGCGGGAAAGAGCACAAGAGAACCCCGCGCTGCGTTTGGCCCGGGCGCGAGGTCGAGAGCCGGCCCGTGGGGGGGTTCACGCGAACGAGACAGCGAATTTGCGAGCCGACGCGCCAGAGGATTTGCTCGGCGAAACGGCGAGGACGAAGCCGAGGGCAGGAAGGCGAGGGCGACTGGCGAAGGTGGCCAGTCCTGCTGTCAAGACTGGACGGCGGTACGAGGGCGAGCCGCCCACCGTCATTACGCAACTGCAGCGCTGGCCTGCACTGACAGGGAGGCATCCAAGCTATGATTGAACCACTGCCTCCCTGTCGAAACATAGAAGACAACGTGTAGGCGCGACAGGGCAGGAGGTGCCTGCCCACCGAACACGAGCAACACAGGCAGAACACCCACCCGAAACAAGGGACCATCCGTCCCATGGCACTTGGAACTCCTGGCGTGAGGAACCAAGTCCGATGGCACTTGGGACTCATGGCTCGAGGGAGAGGACTCCTCTAGGCAACTACAATCATAGAGAAACGTGCATTACACCGCCCCCCCCCTCGGTGGGGCGAGTCGTGCAGACTTCGCCAGCAGAGCTGAGGCAGAGCACGACCAACAAGCACGAGCCTCGGTACACGATGATGCTCGCGTTGACACCTCCGCCGACACCTCGGCCCGGGGAACGGTTCCCCCCTCTCTCCTTCTCCCTCTATCTCTCGTTCTCTCTTGCTCCGCCCCGCTCTCAGCCTCACCCGCAGCATGTCGGAAAGGTTGCTAGCAGAAGTCGAATACAAGCTCAATACCGAAGTGTTGGCAAGCAGCTGCACGGTGCGCAAGGACTGCGCACCGCCACCGAAGGAGGGGGGACGAAAGCGGCAGGGGGGGTAGGTGCACGGCCCCGCTGGGGGCAGGACCCCGCTAGTGACCGACAGCCCACTCCCCAGACATCCATTTCTCTCCTCTGCCCCGTGCGCTGAAGTCCAACACTTCAGAAGCGGCCAGCGTAAAAGCGATCAAACGGATCAGATCGGCCGCACCAGGATGCAGAACACCCCCATGCAAGCATCGGGCCGCGACGGATCGTCGGCGATGGTCATCGGAATCGCATCGGATCGAGCCAACCAGAATCGATATCGAATTGAATCGATCGGATCGGAATCGGCCCTGAATTCCCCCTTAAACTCGACCCATCTCCTGGAGCGCGCTCTGGCAAAGATTTCAGGGCAGATCCAGCCGCGGCCACGAGGGCGCCCCAGGAGGCCCAAACAAAGCCAAGCACGCCCAAAACTCGATCATCAAACTTCCTGCTGGCTGGCAGTTGACCACGCTGCCAGCAAAACCTCCCCAGACATACCTGGGATCGTCGCCGCACGCCAGCACGGCCAGCAAACAGATGTTTCGGATTCATTGCGTACCGCCTGCGGCGTCTTCCACGCAGCTCGGCCGCGGCGCATCGGCATTACTTGAACACATGTTGTCTTCGCCGTCGTCTCTGTTGCCGTCCAACCAGAATCGAAACCGAAGAGTACGGCTTGACTCGGCGCTATAGCACCGTCGTCGTGCATCAGCTCGCAGTCCATCGAATTGTCCCAGGTCTCGACGAAGCGGAGGTACAGAACCTGCGCTGGATCATGAGTTCAAAATGAAAACCTAATGCGAGGAGGCAACTTCCCGACAGTGAGCTGGAACACCATGTACGATTCGGGATATGATGTCAGCGCGTGGACCCAAAGCAGATGATTCGAGTAGTTGCTATTGCGCGTGGGGGCACCTGTGTATGCGGGACTGAATGTGTGAACAACTGTTCGTGTGGAGCTGTGTGTGGACCCCTGTGTGTTTGTGGAACCCTGTGGAATTGGGCGACCCGATATCTGTGGAACCCAGTGTATGGAGAGCATATGTGTGTGAGGGGGGACCCCGTGTTGCCACTTTCCTTGTCTGACTGCATACGCAGCGTGCGTCGAAGCCGAGCGCTGCACGCTGGCGGGGGAAGCCTCAGCCGCCGTGCCCCGAAACGTGCGAGAGTTGAGTCGTGTGAAGCCCTCGGTGTGTGAACCCTTCGTGTGGCACCCTGCGCGTGTGGAGCCGCATGTAAGCGGAATGTGTGTCTGTGTTTGTGTGTTTGTGTTGCGAGCCCGTGTGCGGAACTGCCGCGCAACCCAACGAGCAGTCCACAACGCAGCCCAGCGCGGAGCCAACGCGCAACCCGCTGCGCGACACACCACTTGACACGCAACCCACCGAATACCGCGCAGCAACCGCGCAACCACCGCGAAACCCACCGCGCAAAAACTGTCGCGCAAACCATCGCGCTCTGCGCAACTCTATGTCGGACAAAACTCCACTTCGATGCCTACAACATCTGAATTCATGGATTGATCCTTTCCGCCCTTTCCCTCCTCCTCCTCCTCCTCCTCCTCCTCCTCCTCCTCCTCCTCAGCCTCCGCCTCCGACTTCGCCTCCTCCTCCTCCTACTCTTCTGGCTTCTCGTCCTCCAACCACGTCTCCATCTCCATGCGAGGCTGCGTTTGAGGTGGCACCAATCCCCAGTAGCCGCGGTAGTGCAGTTGCGACCCCTGGACATAGTCCTGATCGTCCGACTCGGGCTCTCCTGTCGGAGCCTCTCAGGAGCTTTTGGGGGGCGTCCGGGAGGGACCCAGGTCGGCTACACGTAAGAGTGACCCTGGGTAAGAGTGACCTTTGGTGCGCGGCTTTTTGGGGGCCGCTGGGGGGCCAAACACAAGCGCGCAAGACGCCACTGCCGCCTCGCGTTCGGCGATCGGGGACCCCAATGGGCCCGCACCAAAGGTCACTCCGGCGAAGGGTCACTCTTACGTGTAGTCGACCAGGGGCTATCCTTCCTCGGCAGGCCCCTGGACTGTGCTGCACCCGAACGAGCAGCTCGCCCCCGGGCCGCTCTTTTGCGGGCCAAAGGGGGGCCCCGAGGGCGCCCCCCCTGGAGTCGATGCACCCCTCCTCTGAACCTGCACCGCCCCGGCGCTGCCCCTTCTGAAGCTGGAACAAGTCGGGCGTTGGCAGAACTGGGTTTATGAAGGGGCCCTGGGACACACAAATAAATACACACAAACAGAAATATTCCCTATATTTTCCCATATTTTCTGTGGTTATGTCTTCCACCCCACTTCCCATATTTTCCCATATTTTCTGGGGAATCGACGATTAATTGTGTCTGTGTGTCTTTTCCCCTCCTGAAATAAGTCGGGCGTTGGCAGAACTGGGTTTAGTGGAACCTGGTCTAGTGATGTGTACTGGGGGGGGCGCCCCCCCCCCCGCCCCGTGCCACTCACCGGAACTGCCGCCGTCCAAAAAAACACCAGCTGCGGCAGACCTGGTGTTTTTGGTGATTCTGGCCAATACTCAAAGGCTCTAGGGCCCTACCACGAACCGGGTCCCCTTACCTCTGGGCATCGGCCCAGGGCCGCACCCAGGAGGAGGAGGAGGAGGAGGAGGAGGAGGAGGAGGAGGGGGAGGAGGAGGAGGAGGAGGAGGAGGGAGGAGGAGGAGGATATACCCGAAATACGACCATCCCACCCCTTCCCCCATTCCCTGGGCGCGGGACGGGGCGCGCGCGCGCGGCACCCCGAAGGCCGAGCTGGACCTCACCGGCGGCGCGGAGGTGGGCACGGAGGGCACCACGACCCCGCTCGTCACCTGGGGCGGGGCGGTCGCTCCCGGCGCGGCGCGGGCAAGGCCGAGGGGACGCAGAAGCACACGCCGCCAATACTGTGTCCCCCTTGGAGGAGCGCGTCCGACCATATCCTGTGGCACAACAGTCCGCCACCGTGCCCACTGGCACGCTGGGGCGTGCTAGGATGCCGAGTGCTGTCTGGAGGGCTTCCTCTAATCTTCCAAGGGGCCCCCGCCCTTTCCCCGCTGCACCTCGCCGCGCGCACCGGCCCTACTCCCACGGGGTTACTGGAAGGCCATGGCGCCTCCCTGGGGCGCTCCAAGGCTTCCTGGACGGCCCAGGAGGCCCCCAAGACGGTCCAAGAGGACCCCGAGTCGCCGAACGATCGCTCGAAGACGCCCAAGATGGCCTCAAGATGGCCCAAGAGGCCTCCAAGATGCCCTAAGATTCCTCAACGAGGCCTCCAAAGAGGGCACCAAGAGGGTTCCCGACGCTCCAGGATGGCCCAAAGGGCCCCAAAGATCACCCCAAAACAACCAAAGAGGCTTCAGGACGGCCTCAAGACGGCCCAAGAGAGCCCCAAGACGGCCCAAGTGGCGCTCAAGACGGCCCAAGAAGGCCCCAAGACGGCCCCAAAAGGGGCCCGAGAGATAGAACACGAACCGAGAATCCGAGTCCTCCGCCCCAAGAGGCGCCCAGGAGGCCCCAAGAGGCGCGCAAGAGGCCCAGATACGCCCCCAGGAGGCCCCCAAGGGGCCCCAAGAGGCTCACAGGAGGCCCACTCGAAACTGCGTCCAAGAGGCCCCCAAGAGGTCTCCCACGAGATCCCAACGAACATCCAATAGGCTTCATACCCACAACCCAGGCACGGCGGCGAGACTTGCCGTAGGCAGCTGGATAGTATAATATATCATAACCCCAGCGGTGTGGCCAGGAAGCGCCCGCCAAAGAGCATATACTATGAGATGTCTGAGCGCGCGCGCGTCGCCCCTGGGGGGGGGAGAGGGGAACGCCACCGTGCCTTCAGCACGTAGTGGAGTGCCCCAAGGATCATGCACCCCTGCGGCCCTGAGAGGTAGAGGGGTTGGAGGGCTGAGGGCCGAGACCCCAATTTCCCAGCTGCTCCCGCTCCCAGGATTTCCCGGGAGCGCTTGACAGCTCCTGGAGGCACCTGGGAGCTCCCAGGAGCTCCTCGGCCGGCCTAACACGACCTCCCGAACCCTTGGGAGCGTCTCGAAAACCGCCTAAGATGGCCAAAGAAGGGCCCAGAGCGGCCCCATAGCTTCAAGACGGCCACTGCGGCCTCGGGGCCCACAAGACGCCTCAAGAGGGCCCCAAGAGCACCCCACAAAGCAAAAGACGCCCCTGCCTCAAGGAAAAGGCATACGCATGTTCAACGCATTCGCCTCTTAGGCTGTCACAGAGTCCAAGACGGCACAGGAAGCCCCCAAGAGGGCCCCAAGACGGTCAGAGAGAGCCCAAAGACGGCCCAAGAGGCGCCCAAGACGGCTCAAAAGGGCCCCAAGAAGGACCCAAGGGGGGCCCAATATTGGGAACTCGAGATAAGACTTCATACAGACTCAAGGCAGCTGGCCGGGTCGGCCATTCCCGTGCGGTCCCAGGGGCACTTGCCAGGGACGCCCGAAGGCTTTCCCACCTTTCACTTATTGGTCGGTCTCGCAGTTAGCGGAGTGTTGTTGCAATTGCAAGGTCCTGCTGGCAGCGGCTGCAAGCTGGACTTGCTCAGCTAGAGGTGCTCCAAGGAAAGCCCAGTCGGCTGAATGTCACTGGCTTTGCCGTGCGTCGCAGTGGTCAACGCCTCCACGGAGTTCCGCGATACCATTCGGAAGCAGCAGTGGTTCGCCTTCTCGTATGCTGCGGGGTGCTCCTAGAATCGTCCATTGCTTCTGCCAGAAGAGCCGCTCGCAGTGCCGAAAGGCGACAGTTGCTGCGCGAGGAGGAGCGGTTCATCATGTCGTTCATCCGCTTCTTCCTCCAAAGGGTCGTAGCTATCAGGATGTTGACTTTCGTCAGAGGCGTTGGTCTCGTTCCTCACGCTCCAAAGGGTGTTCATCCAGCTGTGGGTCCTCGTGGTGCGGGCCCTCTTGTCGGTGAGCACCGCTTACTTCATGATAGGGGAGCACGGCCGTGCGTGTGTTACGAGGTATGCCTGCCCGCCTCCGCCGTCATCAGAGCCTGCGCTGGTCCCGCTTGCCCACCTGGACAGGCTGCTGCTCTCTGCCGTTCCTGACTCAGTGGTTGACCGAGCTTCAGTCCACTCGCAGTGCTGCCGCCCCAGTCCTGTCCAGCTGCCTCCTGCATGTCTCGGGCCGGGCGAAAGGGGGGATATCAAAGGGGGGGTTTGAGAATCAGCTCACGTAGCTGATTTTCCCAGCGCCACCTGGTGCCGGGAGGCGCCCGTGTATCGAGGAATGGGCCCGGCGGCGGGGCCGGAACCAGCTGCATGCAGCAGATTTCGTACCCCCCCCCCTTCCCTATCCCCCCCTTTCGTTGGGCCCGACTGTCCAGCTGCCTCTCCTGGCCGTCGGCGGGCCCGCTGCCCTTTCCACGGGTGAGGCGCCGGGTGACGGCCAGCAGGCTGCGCGATTGCTGCCGACTTCAAGAGGGCGGCGTCCAAGAGGGGGGTGCGCAGATCATGGCGCGGCGCCAGAGGGAAGGGGGGGCCAGAAACGTAATGAAACAAGATGAGGCGCCATGGAAAACTGGGGAAATAGCATGGCCCACACGCCATGATGTCCACCCCCCCTAGGCATCACCCCCTTCTTGGCCGCCCCTAGGCAGAAATCAGCCCGGGTAATCCCCGATGGGCGCATATAGCCCGCTTCCCCGAGCGCCTCAGGCCACGAGCGATGTCTACTTTCGGCCGCTCGGTCGGAGGGCGTGCCGTGTTGCCTCGCCCGGGTGCTCATGCGATCTCAGGCACTCGTGCACTCAAATGTTCACAGGTCACGATGCGCGCGAAACGCCACAACAAAAGACAACGGGACAGAAAGCAGAGGGGGAACGGGAAACGGGCGGGTGTGGGAATCCTCACGTCCGCAGGGCCCGTGCCCGTGCGCGGCGTCCTGGAGGGCCCACAAGTCTGCGGAGCTCCCACGGCTTTCAGACCCTCCTTTTCACAACCACCATCTCATGACCTGTCTCAGAGAGCTGTTTAGTGATGAGCAGGGTCAGAAGCTATACTCCCTCTTCTCCCTCCATCTCTCCGTCCTCTCATCCTCCTCCCACCCAGACAACCTCTGGGCCTCCCCACCTCCCTCCCTCTGGCTGCCCCCACCCACCCGACGAAGACGACGACGACCGCCACCGCCAGCACGACGACGACGACCCAGACCACGACGACGGCCACGGCGACCACGGCGACAGCCTCGACCCTGACGACAGCCACCACCACCACCAACCACGGCCACGACGACCACGGCCACGACCACGACGACCGACGACGACCGAAGGCGGCCGCGGCGGACGGCGGCGGCCGCGACAGCGGCGCGCAGGTGGCGCGCCGTCTGCCCGAGCGCGTCGAGGAGAGCGGAGGCCGCGGGGAGCAGCGGCGCCAGCAGCCAGGACAGGCGGCGCAGCGGCGCCATGGCGCGCCTCTCGGGCCGCGCGGTGGCAGGTCGCCGCCGCGGCAGGTCGTCGCCGTCGTCGCCGTCGTGGTCGTCGTGGTCACGGTGGTCGTGGTGGCGTCGAGGCCGTCGCCGTCGCCGTCGCTGTGGTGGCGGTCGTGGTCGTTGCCGTCGTGGTGACGGTCGTGGTGGTGGTCGTCGTGGCCGTCGCCGTCGCCGTTGTGGTCGTCGTTGTCGTGGTCCGTGGTCGTCGCCGTCGTGGTCGTCGTGGTCGTGCTCCTCGTCATCGTGGTCGGCGTGGTCGTCGTCGTGGTCGTGGTCGTCGTGGTGACCGCCCTCGCCGGCGCCGCCAGTGTCAAATGACGAGCAGCGAACAGGTCCGTGTCCTTGCAGTCGCGGTCTACGCCGAGGCGAGATCCCACGGATGCGCGGTGCGGGAGCAAGAAACACGACACCACCACTCAATCTATTGCACCACCCCTTGTCGCTGGACCCCCTTCTGGGTCAACCTGAGTGGCGGTGGTGGTGGTCGTGGTGGTGGTGATGGTGATGGTGGTGGTGGCGGTGGTGGTGGTGGCGGCGGTGGTGTCGCTCCGCCTTCTTCCGACGATCCCGCGGAGACGCGTCGCGCGGGGCACTCGCACAACGCCGCCCTGTATCCGTGCGGTCGCGGCCTAGAAGTCCGCGGGTGTGGAAATGTTCCGAGCCCACGGGTCACAGCCCGTGGGCTGATGAGGCGAAGTCGTCGTCATCGTCGCCGGGCATCGAGGGTCAGAAGGCTGTGGGGTCCGGGTCGGGGAGCGAGCACCGAGGACCGAGGGTCGCAGGCTCCCTGGGTCTCCGGCTTGCGCCTTGGGGGAGGGCGCCCTCGTCGCCACGGCTGCGTCCGCCTCGAGTGCCCGAGTAGAGAGCGCACCGACATGGGGCAGGGGAGGGGAGGGGGGAGGTGAGGGGAGGGGCGAGAGCCCTGGCCAGCGACGCGTGCGAGCGCGGGCAAGGGTGAGAAACGAAAAAACAGAACGAAACGAAAAAGACAAAGAAAGCCTCGGAGGGGGAAGATAGGGACGACGAAGAGGGGATTGAAGAGAAGGGGGAGGCCCACCCTCCCTCGTCCCTCCATCTGTGCATCTGCCTCCATCAATGTTTGGTCGTGCGGGCAACGGAAGGGCTTGAGATACCAAGGCAGCAAGACGCTGCCGATGCACTGAGGGCAAAAGGCTAATACGCGCGCAGGCGCGATGAACCTCGCCGCCGGCAGCCTAACCTGGGACGGTCTCGGCAATAGCCGTGCAGCCCCTCCTCCTCCTCCTCCTCCTCCTCCTCATCCTCCTCCTCCTCCTCCTCTCTCCTCCTCCTCCTCTCCTCCTCCTCCTCTCCTCCTCCTCCTCCTCCTCCTCCTCCTCCTCCTCTCCTCCTCCTCCTCCTCCTCCTCCTCCTCCTCCTCCTCCTCCTCCTCCTCCTCCTCCCTCCTCCTCCTCCTTCCTCCCTCCTCCTCCTCCTCCTCCTCCTCCTCCTCTCTCCTCTCCTCCTCCTCCTCCTCCTCTCCTCCCTCCTCCTCTCCTCCTCCTCCCCTCCTCCTCCTCCTCCTCCTCATCTCCTCCTCCTCCTCCCCTCCTCCTCTCATCCTCCTCCTCATCATCATCATCATCATCATCATCATCATCAGCAGCAGCAGCAGCATCATCATCAGCATCATCATCATCCGCATCATCATCAGCAGCACCATCATCATCATCGTCACTATCAACCTCAAGCTACACCTCAATCTCAACCACAACACATTACTTTCCATAGTCCAGCCGATCTCTCTCTCTCTCTCTCTCTCTCTGAGTCTCTCGCTCTCTCTCTCTCTCTCTCGTTTTTTCTATATATCTCTCTCTCTCTCTCTCTCTCTCCCCCCCCCCCGATCCCTCCTTTATCCTCCAAGACGCCGACCTCCCTCCCTACCCCTCTTCTTTCTCATCCTTCATCTTTGTTATTGCAGATAACTCCTCCTCGTCTGAATGTGAGACGCTTTGGTAGGGCAGACAAGACGTTTCGCTTTGGACTGCCTCACGATGTATAATCCTGAAGATTGGCATGCCCGACATTTGTAGTGATTGATGGCGGGTGGTTTAAACATGGAACTCCCATCCCAGCGCCGCGCACATTCGTCTTGAAAATTTGCAGCAGCTACATGGATGAAGGGCGGACCCTATTTAAAATGATGCTCTCCCTTTAGCGCCGCGCAAAAATGAAAGGAAACTTCTTTTTCTGGGGCAATAGCCTGCTGCGCCGCGCACATACATTTTTTGTATCGTGAGTGTGTGTGTGTGCGTGTGTCAAATACAAGGGCGGCGGTTCCTTTTCATAACGGAGTTTCGATGGAGACCACAACTCTACAACAGGCGCACGCACGTGGAACAGTTACACAACACGAGTGGAGGCTGGCTGGTCTTCAAAATGCGGCGCGCGTCGAGAACTGCTCGAAAACTGCCACAATAATTATTACCCTGGCGACGTACCCAACCCCTGCGCAACCGCGGGGCGCAAATAGTTTAGGACACTTTATAGGGGGGCGATGACGGAGCGAGGGTTACATATGTCTGCAGACGGAATTCGGGAGACTCGCAGGACACTGGCTACAGGACAAGGACTAGATAAAACTGAATAGTTACAATCCCTGAGCAACCCTAGCCGGTTCGAAAGCGGGGATCTCAGATCGCAGCTCCCCAAGGATGGCGAAGTTAAATTTGGGTCCGCGCGTGGCGTCACTGTGCCGGGCCCCCCAGCAGGCCTCGAAAGTGGCGACGTTTTCACAGATCGCAGCCCCCCAGGGATGGCGAGGTCTAATTTGGGTCCGCGCGTGGCGTCACTGTGCTGGGCCCCCCAGCAGGCCTCGAAAGTGGCGACAGTTTCACAGATCGCAGCCCCCCAGGGATGGCGAGGTCTAATTTGGGTCCGCGCGTGGCGTCACTGTGCTGGGCCCCCCAGCAGGCCTCGAAAGTGGCGACAGTTTCACAGATCGCAGCCCCCCAGGGATGGCGAGGTCTAATTTGGAATCCGCGCGTGGCGTCACTGTGCTGGGCCCCCCAGCAGGCCTCGAAAGTGGCGACAGTTTCACAGATCGCAGCCCCCCAGGGATGGCGAGGTCTAATTTGGGTCCGCGCGTGGCGTCACTGTGCTGGGCCCCCCAGCAGGCCTCGAAAGTGGCGACAGTTTCACAGATCGCAGCCCCCCAGGGATGGCGAAGTCATCCGCCGTGGCGTCACTGTGCTGGGCCCCCCAGCAGGCCTCGAAAGTGGCGACAGTTTCACAGATCGCAGCCCCCCAGGGATGGCGAGGTCTAATTTGGGTCCGCGCGTGGCGTCACTGTGCTGGGCCCCCCAGCAGGCCTCGAAAGTGGCGACGGTTTCACAGATGGCAGCCCCCCAGGGATGGCAAGGTCTAGTTTGGGCCCGCGCGCGGCGTCACTGTGCTGGCCCCCCCAGCAGGCCTCGAAAGTGGCGACGGTTTCACTGATCGCAGCCCCCCAGGGATGGCGAGGTCAAATTTGGGTCCGCGCGTGGCGTCACTGTGCTGGGCCCCCCAGCAGGCCTCGAAAGTGGCGACAGTTTCACAGATCGCAGCCCCCCGCAGGCAAGACAGGAGGAGGCAAGAGGGAGACTGGACGGGAAGAAGGGAGTGGAGACCACACTGCTCTATTCAAAACGAATACCCAACCAAGGAGGGTTGGGAATAAAATTGAGTAGCAGCTACATGGGTGGATGGCGACTTGGAAGTGGGGCTATCGGTGGGGACCTCATCACATCGAACGAGTAAAAGTTCAACCATGTGCAACAACTGCGCGGATGTAGCGCGGCTGCGTTTCAAAATCCACCGACCCTGTCGACGTGTGCAAGGCGCTGTTCTGTTTGACTCGACGTCATCGTCGTCGTCGTCGCCGTCGCCGTCGCCGTCGCCGTCGCGGTCGCGTTTGACCCTCTTTTCCCTGGGCCCGTCGCCGCTCACCCCCCTTCACTGGGCTCTCCTCCTCAAGCGAGCCAGCCAAGCGAAATCAAAGCGAAATTGAGCAACGTCGTAGCTGAGTCGACGGGAAGCTCCTTACCTTTGGTCGCTTCCACCACTCTGGGGCGGGAGGGGCAAGGGGGGGAGTTCGAGGGGGGTCCGAGGGAGGGGTCCTGGGGGGGATCTGGGGGGGTCACAGGGGGCGTTCCGGGTCAGAATACCATCCTCCCCGGGGGGGGTCCTGGGGCCCAAGAAGGCACCAAGAGAGCCCAAGAGGCCCCCAAGATGGTCCAAGAGAGCCCCGAATCGCCGACCAACCGGTCCTAGACGCCAAACATGGCCTCATGACCCTCCAAGTGGCTGCCAAGACGCTCGAAGAGGCATCCAACAGCACACCACAAGAGCCCCAACAGGCAAAATCCTGGGATTGCTTCAGGTTTTTGAAAAATTCAGGCGTTCTCGCCTGTTCAGTTCTCCGGCGCCCCAAGAGGGCCCCAGATGCCACCAAGATCGGCACAAGAGGGCCCCAAGAGGTTTCCAAGACGGCCCCGACACGCCCTAAGATGGCCCCAAGACGGCCCTAGACGCCTCCCAGATGGCCCAACAGGCCCCAAAAACGGCCCCAAGAGGGTGCCCGAACAGGAGACCGAACGAACATTTCGAGGCTTCGAATCCGAGAAGCTCCCAGGCGGTCCCAAGAGGTACCCAAGAGGCCCCCACGAAGCCCCAAGAGGCCCCCGAGAGATTCCCAGGCAGCCCAAAGGGAGCCCCAAGAGGCTCCAAGAGGCCACCCATTATGCTCTTAAGAGGCCCCATCACTGCCCCAAGAGGCCTTCGAGCACGCTCCGAAGAGGCCCCACGAAGCATCCCTGAGGACTCTGTCCCACGTCAGCGTCGTCGTCGCCGCCGACGCCGCCGTCGTGGTCGTCGTCCCCTTGAGGGTCGGCGGCAAGGGCCGTAAGGCCGTCCCGATAGGGTTCTCGCATGAAACGTTCTCAGACTTGGCGACCAACGGCGTAAACTTGCAACAAAAATTGTACGGATGGTGGGGCGGCTCCCTGTCAAAACTTTGCTCTCGCCAGACACATCGTTGAAATTGATGAACCTGTATACCTTGTCGCACTCGCTATACACCGAATGAAGGATGCAAGGCAGCTCTTTTCCTTAAAGGGGGGCCTGCCCAAATGGTAGGCCCATAGGGTGCTCGTTTGTGTCTGGTAAGCGTGTCTTGTATTGTTTGCAGTAGTCAGCCTCCCCCACATCGTAGTCACATCCATCATGATCACAAGAACCGTCATGGTCGTTGGCAACGCCATCGTTCTGAACATTACCAGCATCACCATCGTCAACATCAGCATCACCATCATGATAAGCATCATAATTAGCATCATCATCACTACCCTTGCCATCACAATCACCACCATCGCCATCATCAACAATACCATCCTCACCATCGGACGTCATCAGCATCAGCATTAGCATCGTCAACATCATCATCAGCAGCAGAATCATCAGCATCATAATCACTCACACCATCGTCAGTATCGCCACCACCACATTCATTACCATCAACATCGACACCACAGACACAATAACCACGAGCATGCTCACCACCATCATCACCATCGTCGGCGTCGTCGTCATCGCCACCATCCTCATCCTAACCACCATCGCAATCGTCGCCACCATCATCACAACCACCACCGTCACCACCACCATCACCACAACCGTCATGAGCATGATCGTCACCATATGCTTCATCATCCTCATCCTCATCCTCATCCTCATCCTCATCATAAAACATCCCCTTCTCTCCTCCCCCTTCCCCTCCATCGCACCCACCCGTCAATTGTATTGTCTTGTCTCACCTCATCCTTCTCCCCCTCCTCCCCCCCCGTGCCCTGGCCGCCTTTACTTTCTCCTCCTCCTCCTCCTCCTCCTCCTCCTCCTCCTCCTCCTCCTCCTCCTACGCCTGGGCTCTGGGCGCTGATGGCTCTGGTGTCGTGGTCGACGCAGCCTCCCTCCTCCGCCTCCTGCTCCTCCGCCTTCTCCGCCCTCCTCCTCCTCCTCCTCCTCCTCCTCCTTCATTATCCTCCTCCCCTCCTCTTATCCTCATTATCCTCGTTGTCCTTCCTTCCTCCTCCCCCCCCAGCCCCCACCCCCCCCCCTCCCCCGTTCCGCCCGCCCTTCCTCCGCGGGCCGCCCCCCCCCCCCCCAGCCCCGCGCGGCACGATGGGGCGGCCGCGCGCGAGGACGGGAAGCGGGGGAGGGGCGCGGCGGCGGCGCCCTCGGGCCGAACCCAGAAGCGGGCTGCCGGCGGCGCGGCGCGGCCAGAAGAAGCACCGGAGCGACGAGAAGAGGCGGGTCTCGGCGGCGAGCGAGGGGGGGGGAACGAGAAGGAGAAGGCGTAGAGAAGGTCCGGACCCCCCCCCGGCTTTCCGAGAGGAGTTCTAAGCCTTCGGCGGAGGCCAAAACAGCTTCTCAAAGGGCGCGAAGGCTTCTGAGAAGTCCCGCCGCCTTCTCTGAGGAGGCCTTCTCCTTTTCGTTTCCCCCCCTCGCTCGCCGCCGAGGGTTTTACGTGAGACGACATATGAGCATTGTTTGACAGATCCCTACCCCCACTGGCGCGGCCTGGGCCCCACTGGCCGGTTCACCCCCGTAGATGGAGATGTGGGCTGTTCCCTCCGGGCTTCGAGGGGTATATTGAAGGGGCCCTGGGACACGCAAATAAATACACACAAATAACCAGATTTACCATATTTCCTATATTTCTGGGTTGTTGTCTGCCCCCACACTTCCCATAGTTTCCCATATTTTCTGGGGGATCGACGATTCATGGTGTCGGTGTTTCTTCCCCCCCTGAAGCATGGCGACTTCACGCGGCGTCTCACGCGGGTCGCCTGGGCGGCACGCACATGTGGAAACGAGGGTGCCCGTGCGCCATCTTACGGGGGCAGCTCGCGCGCAGTCGTCCTCGCAGTCGAGGCCGCCACGTCCCGTCACCCGTCCGCACAGACACGAGACGTGCGGAGGTCCGAGCGGACTGCTCCGATCGACGCCGCCAGAGCGCGGAGCACGCCGCAGGGCGGGGTTCGCGTCGCCACGGGGATTCCCGGCGCCGATCGAAGGCATCCGCGCGGACCTCCGAACACTCGATCATGTGTGTGGGGTGCTTCTCTTCTCTCTCGGCTGGCTCGATGCCGTCGCTCAGCCCATGACGACGTGGGGGTACTCGCCCAGGCCCCACGCACTGCGGCCGCCGGCGTTCTTGTACTGGTAGGCCCAGCTCCAGGTGTTGGGGCAGCGGTAGGCGATGTCCGAGCTGTGCCCGTCGGTGCTGAGGTACCTGGGAGAAGATCAACGGCATACAGTGCCGTTTTTTATACATGCTCCGCGTGCGGATGATGTATTTAAAATGTAGGGATTCTGTATAAAAAACAACGATGGGTTCATGCATACATTCATTCATACATGAATCATGTATTTAAAAACCTATATATATATATATATATATACATATATATATATATACATATGTATTTATATATAAATCCTATGTAATTAAAGCTGCCCTGTAAGCATAAACGTGGCGCGCACAAGGTGGTGGCGACAGGGGGGGGCTTCCAAGAGGGCGGGGAGCTTCTAGGAGGCAGGGGCACTCTTCGAAGGGCTTCGGGGCCCAGAGGCCTCCGAGGCCAGGAGGGCTTCCTCCCAACTTTCTTAGAAGCCCCCCCGCCTTCTTAAAGGGCCCCCCCGCGCGACCCCAAGGAGAGCCCAGAATCGAACCCCCAAGTCAGATCGGCGATCGAAAAGCATCGGATCGGCGGAAATCGGCAGCCGAGTCGGGAGAAGTCGAATTGGAGGAAATCAACAGGCCAGTATGCTTCCATCAAGGCATCGGAGCCCAAATCGGAACCCGAAGCCGAACCGAATCGGAACCGGAAGCCATCGAGAAATCGAATCGAACCGAATCGGGTGAAAATCGAATCGGCAAAAAAATCGGACCGAAGCGACGCGAATCGAAATCGAAGCGAACGGTGCGCGCCGCCGAGAAGCTGTCGGAGGCCCGCGCGGATGTCTTGGAACTGAGTATCGTTTGACCGATCCCCATCCCCAGCGGCGTGGCCTGGGCCCCGCTGGCCGATTTGCCCCCTTGGATGGGGATATAGGCCGTTCCCTTCGGGCTTCGGGGGGGGGGTATCCCCAACGGGGGTGGCAATGTGGTGGGGGTCTCGAAGGGGACGGGGCTGGGGGAACGGCGCTGGATCCCCCCCCCCCCTCCCGGGCGCGCTGGCACGCGGAGAGCGCGCCCGTGGAGAGCGGCGCCGATGGGGCGCCGCCCCGGGAGGGCTTCCCGCGCAGGGCTGGACACCAGACGTCGTGGTTCGCTCTGGTTTCGATGCCTTGTTCGCCTCGCTCTGCGGCGGGTTCGTGTCGTGACGACCCTGGCGTTGGTTTCTGACGCCGCGCGGATCGTTCAAACTGGAACGATCGGCGGCTTTCCGATCGCCCGATCGTTCCATGCAGGCCGATTCTGGGCCAGTGGCGGCGTTCAACCTTGAACGTCCGCGGAGGGGTCGCCGCCGGTCGACACGACGCGAACCTACCGTACCTGTCTTCCTGTACCTCCCTGCCACAGCGAAAAAACAAAGCACGGCCGAAGTCCAGCAAGACGGCGTTTAGGTCCAGCCCTGGTCCAGCGCAGATCCAAAAAAGCCGCGCGGAGCATTGGCATCGGCCCTCTGGGCGTGAGCGGCCTGGTGCGTGTCCCGTGTCCTCTTCCGTCTTCCCGCTTCCCCTTCGGGGAGGGGTTGTTCACTGCTGCTTATGGATATACACCCCGTCCTCAACCAGACCAGCGACAGACAAGAGCCAGTGCGCTCCCCCACGCCACGAGTGCCAAGAATCCCAGTGCAAACTGCACTTTGCACAATATTTTCGGTAATGTTCGGGGGCGCGAGCACGTTGTATCGTGTCCGGCTGCCAGGAACTACGGGGGGGCAGCATACGACCTGCTGTGCGCAGGGCCATCATCGCTGTTCAACAAAAACTGTACAGACTGCATTTCGCGGCTAAATCTGGACAGTGCGGGGGCACCCCGCGATCACTTTGCAGAGGTGTTTGGCAAGAACGGCGGGGGTGCTGGCATACTGCCTGCTGTGCGCAGGCTCACTAGGCATCATGATGGCCACTCCGTGGCGATTCTGCATTGGCTTTCGACAAAGACAACAAGGGCCGACAGATGTCCAGATGTGCGCGGGCGCACCTGGCATTCTCTTCGCGTGCCCCGAACGTGGCGCACCTGTCGCTGCTGGAGCATGCGGCACACTTGGCCCACGTGGCACATCTGGCGCACCAGCGGTACCTGGCACGCTTGGGTCCCAAGGGCGCCTGGCGCGCCTGGTGGGCGTGGCGCGACTGGCACGCGTGGCGCGCCTCGCCCCAGCGTCGCGCACTAGCGAGCTTCCCATCCAAAAACGACGACCGAATGTGCTGAGACTCGGGTACCACTTATGTGTTGGGATGGCGGGTATGAGTGAGCCAGACAATTTGCGCCAGGGAAAGGCGTCTTGACCCGTCCCCCTACCCCATCCCCCTGGACGTGGGCGGGGCGCCCCGCGGCGCGTCAGAGAGCGCTGCTGGCCCCAAGTCAAGACGGCTCCAGCAGAACCTCAGGGATCTCATGA